GCTGCTTATGCACCATGAAGATGGCCCCTCGTGCCCTGCAGCTGAGGGAGGAAGGCTTTTTTTCCCCCAAGGTGGGCTAGCAAGTGTCCCCAGGGGTTTTTGCCTTCCTCTGCAGCACTGAGCATGGCCCCTTGCGAGGGCTCCTTTGGACCGTTTTGGCTAGGTACCTGCTGCTCCTGCTCCACAAAGGTGGCCCCGGTGCCCTGCATCTGGGGGGAGGAAGCTTTCCAGACTCCCAGCGTGGGCCCTCAGGGTGGCCCCTGGGAGATACTTCTTGTCCTCTGTAGCATTGAGCACAGCCCCTCGTCAGGGCTCCTCTGGGCCATTTTGGTGAGCTGCTTGCCTGCTGCTCTGGCACCTCCAAGGCGCTACTTGTGCCCTGGCTCTCTGGAGACCTCTTGCTGACTGCAAGTTCTTAGCGGGAGCGAGCTCTGCTTTTCCCTTGGCTCTGCTTCCCCAGGGCTTCTTGCTTGTGCACAGTAGCCTGTGCTTGGAAGGGCTTCAGGCTTGCTGCACCATCCGAAGCTACCACTTTCCAGCTCTCCCGGCATACAATACAAACGCAGGGCAGGCACAAGAGCGCTTTTCGTGCATCACTGGCCAAGAAGCACAGTGGAGCAGGTTTTGGAAGGCAAAAGGGATGCTTGTCATTGATACGTGTCCTGCTTTGGAAAATACCCCACGGTACCACATTCCTTCTCTTCTTCTTTTGTGTGTGGTTGGTCCTTGATCCTCATTCTTCAAGTTCTTACTCTTCAGGAAACAGGAACCGCTTGGCCTGTGTTCCTGCTGCTACGTTCTGCAGCTCTGTGACTTGCCTTTGCCAGGCTGCCAGGGATGTTTTTTCAAGATGAAGAAGAATCAGCTGCTTCTGGCTACACATGCATGTTGTCATGCTTGTGAGCATCAGCTCTGAAACAGATTCAAAAAAGAAAATAACATGAAAGAAAAATAAAATAAAATTCTGCTTCCACTTGAAACCTTTGTGATACGTGTCCTTGAAAGTGTTTTTGGAGCTGAAAACCCGATGGCATTTCAGGCAAACAACAGTCTTGTTATTTGACTCATGGTGAGCGCAGGGAATAGACTAGACTAGTTATGCTGTGTTAGGCATATAGTTATGCATTACAAGCTGTGACCTAGATCTGAGGGGTCCATCCAGGAGAACAGCTCACTGCAGTGCAGGCTCCAGGCCCACCCAGGAGAGTGGGGCAGAGACGGGCACACTGACAGCATCACTCAGGCAGGGACTGAAGGTCCCAGGCTGAGCTGAGACACCGTGTCCCCCGGGCCCTTGGCAGATGGGGGGCTCCCAGGGGAGGCCAATCCCAGCCATTGAGGCCTATGAGCACCCCCAGGACCCTGGCAGAAATAGCCCTGCGCTGCTCTTATGCTCTCCTTTAGACACTGATGGTTGGCCACTTTGGAGACAGTATTGGGCTGGATAGATCTTGGCTCTGATGGAGTACTGTTGTTCTCTCACTCTTCTGTTTTCTCATATTTTTCCAAGGGAAACAGCGCAGGCATTTTTAAAAATGAGTACAAGGAGAAAAAAATAATGGGGAAATGAACAGGTATTACACACCTCAAAAAAATTTGCAACCATCTAGTTCTGGAGTACTTCCTGCTTCAGACTGAGGGCTTGATCTTTGAGCCTCACTGGTGTCAGAGATGTGCGGGTTTTGCCATGCTGTGGAAACCCCACTGAACTGGATGAGCATAGAAGACTTTCACAAACTGCAGTTCATGGCTGCTTTTTGCATGTTCGGGTGGTCACATGATCTCGAGACGATCCACAGCTCTCACCTCCATCAGAAGGTACAGGCCTCCTTTCCACAAAGTGAAAGACCCAATGCCTAGGATGGGCCATGATTAGCCATTCAATCCAGAGCTGGGGAGAAATGTCATCAAAGATGTCCTCAGCATGTACTGGTAAGGAAAGGAGGAGGTAAGAAATAGAATAGAATAGAATAGAATAGAAGTAGAATAGCATGGCATAGTTCAGCTGGAAGTGACCTACAATGATCATCTAGTCCCACTGCCTGAGCATTTCAGGGCTGACCAAAACATAAAGCGTGATATTAAAGTTATTGTCCAAATGCCTCTTCAACATTGACAGACATGGGGCCTCAACCACCTCTCTAGGAAGCCTATTCCAGGGTTTGACCACCCTCTGGATAAAGAAGTGTTTCCTCAAGTCAAGTCTGAACCTCCCCTGAGGGACGCAGCTTTGAGCCATTCCCACACATCCTATCGCTGGATCCCAGGGAGAAGAGCTTGGCACATCCCTCTGCACTTCTCCTCCTCAGAAAGCTGTAGAGAGCAATGAGGTCACCCCTTAGCTTTCTTTTCTCCAAGCTAGACAAACACAAAGTCCTCAGCCACTCCTCAGAGGATATTCCTTCCAGCCCTTTCACCAGCTTTATTGCTCTCCTCTGGATGCATTCAAGGACCTTAACCTTTTTAAATTGTGGGGCACAATTTATGGGACTGCATTCCCAAACTCCTGTTTCCCCACAGTCATTAGTACAGCTGTAGCGAATTGTTTCAGGATGTGCTATGTCAGCATTCATTTTCCTTGTGTGGCCCGTTGCAGAGAGGTAAGCATGGTCTTAAAATGTGCTGGCTAACTGTTTCCAAGCATAACTCAAAGCACGGGTTTTAGCTCAGGAGTCCCATGTTATTTGAAATCCTTGATCCTTAAAGACTGTCTTTTTCTTAAAAGCACTCTGGAGGCACTCAGGGGGCACTCCTGGTAAGGGAATTAATCTCTAGTGTCACTCTGCCTGATGATCCATCAGATCCACGTTTGGACACTTGCAAGGGCCTGTCTCATCACACAGAGCTTGCATCAAAATTTTGAGATTCTTTGACTGAATAGACATAGTCTAGCAACTTTCTGCGCTTGTTGCACCAGTTTTGCAAACTAATTACTGTGTGTGTGCTAGAAGATTGTTTTTCATAGTTTCTTTTATTAATTAAAAAAGAAGTTCCTTTATATCTGAATAACATTGTCAGTAATTTTATCACATCAACATTCTCAGGTGGTTTCAGGTGGGTGTATAGAAAGCAAAATCTTCAGTCCTTCCTTGCAGCTATCTTACAGGTGCATAGGGACTCTTAAAGAGGCCATTGCCTTTTCATGTCGGATGGCCACCTAGCCAGCCAACTGCTTACCCGCATCAGCATTTACCAGCAACAACCTTCCTCTTCACTAAATGCCTGCAGAATTAATTTAAAAACTTGATGGCCTGTATTCAAACTCCTGGAGACTGACTGCATCGCACTGACCTACCAGTGTTTCATCTCTTGTAGATTTTTCAGTGTCTGGGCTGATGTGGCACTTTCTCCAGGGAAACTTCCAAAATGGAAGCTCAGTTAATGCCAGCTGTGGTTATTTCCTTTTCCTAGGAGGAGACATCCATTTCTAAAGGGATAAGACTGACACTACCAGCTTCATGTTCAGAGCTTACCCACACAGTGCATCCGTTGCTCACCTGGTGGGTGAAGGGCTGGATCTGCTGGTTATGACTGCATGGAATTGGACTCCATCAGGCTACTGATGAGTGAAAGCCCAATTAGCACATCTCTCAGGCTCCACCCTGCATGCTTTGATGTCATCAAATGTATGAAACAGTAATGTTCATGGTCCGGTCTTTTGAATTTACACTGCAGAAAAGTTCAAGAAATGTAGGTTTCCTTGTTCACTTCATATTCTGCATATCATGGCATCCATGAACCAGAAAAAGCTGTATCTCATGGTATGTTTCTACAGCCCCCATACTTGCTACCAGCTGAAGCTCTGACAGAAGAGATAGCCGCTACATCAATAAACCATGCATGAAGAACTGCGCTGTAGAAATAGGTAACACAACGTCAGGTGGAGCACCACGAGTTTCTGCTACAGTTTGGAAACACAGGAGTAGGCAGATGTTCCTGAGGGCATGACTAGATCACAGGGTGACTATAAGCCACCAGTGTGATACAGGGAAACATATTCTTGTGTGTCAGGCAAGATACTTCTGTAGGAAAGGCAAGCCTTGTGCAAGACCCTGGTGAGAACTCACCTGTACCACTGTGGACAGTTCTCATTCCTCAGATTCAAGAAAGAGAAATTCCATCTGGGGTGAAGGCAAACAAAGACTAAGCAGTTGATTAGGGGCATGGAGGGCCTACAGAAGAAGATGACGACTAGAAGGAGCAAGGCAAAGGCCGAGAAGGCTGCCATCACTTTCAAGAAAGGTATCAAGGATGTAGGCCAAAGGAGGAAAAGAGCTATTGAAATGCAAGGAAAAATATGGTAAAGAACACAAAACAATTCAGGACTTGTTTCCAAGAAGAAGACATCACCATAAATGGCATGCTGTCTACATCTCTGCAAAATTCATGCAGAGGGAACCAAACCCCTTTCTTTCACCTTTGGCATCAACACAACCAAATGAATGTATATGGTATAAATGCCCTTATTTACATAGTCTGAATGTACATACCAATTTTGTCACCAACATATAAAATGACAAGAATAGTATCTTCCTTACTCTTTCAGTACTCAAAATACTAAATCCTAAAAGAAAAAGAGATTTGTCAGGGTTTTAAATAAGATCTGAACATCTTCCCACAGAGTGAGGTAGCCAAATGAGATAGAGGGCTATAGACTATTCAGGAAGGATAGGCAGGGCAGGAGAGTTGGAGGAGTTGCACAGTACATAAGGGAGAAGTTTGACTGTATAGCCCTTATGGTTAGGGATGATGTGGTTGAGAGCCTCTGGGTGAGGATTAGGGGGATGGAAGACAAAGCTGGTACCCTGGTGGGATCTCGAGGATCAGGGTTTACTGGACCAGTCATGAAATTTGTTTGACTTGAGAATATACCTGTATGATTTGTTTAATCTCTGTGGCATGCACAATGAACAATATGGTGAACTATATTCTTCCTGACTCTATATAGCTCAACTCATAAAAGTGCTGGATAAAACTCTACATTATCATCTTTACTGCAGTAGTCTTGAAATCTCCCATATATGTGATATTGTTCCTTCTGTCTAGGCAGGCAATGTGGTGACAGGAGAGATGGTAGAAGAACTTATTCTTTCTGGAGCGGATATTATTAAAGTGGGTATCGGACCAGGTAAGTCAAATCCAGTCAAATAAGAGTGACTTACGGTAACACAGTGGAGTTTTCCAGGTGGAACCAGTGTATAATGCTGTTTGCTTGCCCATTAGGATGCCTAGGTCAATAAAGTAACAGTGCCCTTGCACATAGTATATTTAAGAAATACATGGGCAGGGTGCTAGTGTTTTGTACTGCAAACTGTTAACATATTGCATCTTCTGGCAGTGAAGATGCCTATTATTGGAAGCACTGAGTTCCCTGAGTTGCTGACATTATCACTGATAATGTGTGTTGTGTTGAGGAACCCTTTTTCTAGCCTGTTGAAAAGAGGCTGTGTCATCCCAGATAAAGCTCAAAGGATACTGTGTTCAGGTATCCATTTCTATCAAGGAAAGATAGGTTTCTAAACAGCTTTATGATTTGTGTTCTGTTAAGCTGAGATTGCCCATCTTGTCATGAAATGGCATTAATTAAGAGAGAAGTATGGATACTACTGCCTCTGTTACTGTTGCCTGGGAGCTGAAACTTACCTGTTGCCTATCACTGTAGCATTCCCATGGATAAATGAGAGGACTGAAAATTTCTTACAGTGTTTTTCCTACCTTCCCTTCTCTAATATTGTTGTCTGGCATATACTGCCATATTCTCTTCCCTCTTTTCTATCCCTCCCTTGTGAGTTTCTTCATGTGCTCCTTCCTCTTGAAATTTTCTTCTTAGACTGCATCTGGGGTCACCGTACGTAGGCTAGATTTTAAACTGGCTAACACAAGTGCCACTGACAGTAAAGCTGTGATCAGCCAGTGCAGTGCAGGCAGATTGTTTACTCTAAAATGCCAAATAGTTATAGTCCATGAATGGATAATTTGAGCAGAGAAAATGATGTAATAAAGGTTGCAGTTGTGCCCAAACAACAATAAATACTAAAAAACACATGAAGAATAAACAACAGAGATGGCATGGTGCAATTGTCACAGACAAGTTCAGATGTGGAAGAAGAGCTACTATATTTTGTAGCCTCAAAGTGGAAATAGTTAGGAGTAAATGCTGTATAACCCTCCTTGCAGATCTTCCTGGACAGATCTGTACAAGTTGACCACCCAAAACCACAAGTAACAAATGTTCCTCACAGGAGATCAGATCTTGAGGCTCTTTTCCAGGTAATGGTCCATCCCGTGGAAAGTGGCAGTGATTTATTGTAAAGCATTACATATATACACAAAGTACATACCCTGTGGAGATTATTTTAAAACTAATCTTCCTGCTTTGCAGAAATACTTCTCAGTGTTTTCACCTTGTCAGTTCTTTGAAAGATCTTTGGAAACTTACTTTAATGGTAGCTTGAGTATACCTGGATATCAGCTGGGTGAAGGGATCCAGATTTCACTGCGTTCAGTTTAGAATCTGGTTTGGAATTCTTGTTACCATGCAGACCTTCATGGTCTGTATCTTGAATTATAAGACCTGGACTGGCAAAAAGCAGTCCTCCTTTTGACTCTTAACCTGAGGAGAAAAACAGAAGAGGTATTCCAAAAGATCTATAGCCATGTTACCATGTTGAACTGTAATTGAAGTGAGGTTTTTATATACTTATATATACACACCTTTATGCATACATTCACCATGTATATATATAAATAATGTATTTTAATAATCAGCTATAATTAGTATGTTTCCTGTAATATTGCATTATACAGCTTTCTGCTGATTACTTACATAACTTTTTTAATGCTCTGCGCTGCTTTTCTTGTTTTCCAGCTATTGTAATCAGCCAAATATTTCGGCTTTTGAGTATTAGGCAAAAGATGGGTTTCTCTCCCTTGTGGAAAATTGCCACAAAAAAAAGAAAATAAAAGCACAGATTTTCCTTGAGAATTATTTTAAAAAACATATGTAGAAAAGAGATATAAATATTTATTGGAAGAAACATTCAGATGTTAAAAGCTGCTGCTGAGTCTCATGGGTTGTGACTGTGGTCCTTTTGTCCCCCTTCCCTTCAGGCACCTCAGTCAGATTTGCTTTCTTGTGATGCAGTAATTCCCTCACCGGGAAGCATTACTGATGACACCTAAACTGAGAACTGTGGCCCTGGAGAAGAAAGGGGGGATATTAGTCACCTCAATTACAGGTCCCATGAAGTGGTGTGGTAGCATTTCAAGACAAGTTCCTATGTGTTCCTTTTATCCATGAGAAGCCAACATGGGCTATAGAGGCTTCTTGAGGGAAAAAGTAATACAGATGGAAACACATTTTTTCACAAGAAAGAGAAAACAAGCTGTATCTTTTCTGTCAGCGTAATGGGCTATGTTTTTTCCTCTCATTCTTTTGTCTAGGTTCTGTGTGTACCACTCGGATTAAGACGGGGGTGGGCTATCCGCAACTAAGTGCTGTTATTGAATGTGCAGACTCAGCACATGGCTTGAAAGGACATATAATCTCTGTAAGTAAATATCATCTACTCTCAGATTCCCACTGTGCGAATCATTGTGGAATAGGAGAATCAAACACTCCAGTACCCTGCATGTTAAAGGCTATCTTTCTGTCATCTCCAGTTGATCCCTATACTAGCTAGGGGTCAGTGGAGTCAGTGGAGATTTAAACGTAAAGAAACCAACTCCCTCTAATGTTTAAAGACTTGGGCACCTCACTCTTGTTTGTGCCTTTGGAAAGCTGCTTCTTGCTCCCTGAATGGAGTAAGCTGTTATGTGAACAAAGTAGGAAGCTTGGTAGTGTTTTCACATTGAAGCAAACAGTAATTCCTACAAAAGATTACTGAAAAATTAGTAAAATGTAAACATGGTGAACTTGGCAGTGCTAGGCTAACAGTTGGACTTGATGATCTTAAAGGTCTTTTCGAACCTAGGTGATTCTGTGATTCTGTGGCTTTCCCTAGAGAGTGGGACTGAGGGACAGGCAGGCAGTAGAGGGGAGTATGAAGGTAGAACGGTATCAGCCCACCTGCATCTTAGTAGGTGGATTGATTCAGAAAGCACCCTCACAGAGCTCTCTGTGCAGGGGCAGGAGTGTTTCAGAGGTGGCTCTGTTGAGCACAAGCTGGCATGTGAGCCACTTAATGTTCTCACAAAGCTCTGGGGAAGTAATGAGCCTGTAGAGAAAAAAGAGCCTGCATCTGTATTGCCTGATAATGTCAGCTTCTGCTCTACCAGCAAGACAAGATTCACCTCACATAGAAAAAGTAAATCTGTAAGCATGGCCTCAGACTGAGCTGAACTGCAGCCAACAGCACCCAAAGGTCCTGTATGCTTAGGTACACCCAGCCAGCCAGTGTGTCCCTGACTGTGTCAGGCTTGCACAGTCTGCAGGCTGGCTGTGAGGCAGCTGGTAATCAGGAAGGTATAGGGACTAACCAGCGTGCTGGGCTCACAGGTACTCTGGCAGCCAGCAGTCTCCCTCTGCATCCCTAGGATCAATCATAGAATAGTTTGGGTTGAAAGGGACCTTTAATGGTCATCTAGTCCAACCTGCCCCGCAATGAGCAGGGACACTGAATTTTAGATCTGCTGCCAAGTGAAATCACTGGAAGGCCCTCATTTGTTCCACCCAGTTGTGACTGGTATCTGTGTGAGGAAGGGGGTGTGTTGTGTTACTGAGGAAGGAGGAGAGAAAAGAACAAACTGACTGTGGGTGAGCAAAGGGCTTGACTGTATTTCTTGAAGCTGTGGGTATAATGGAGCAGTAAAACAAGTATGTGTTATAATTGGATTTCTCTTGCTCTTTATTGTTAATGCATATGCATTCCCTCCTCTCCATGGCTCCCCCATATGAATTTTGCCGAAAAAAAGAAAAGCAGTCTGATTTTATGACTTGGGCAGTATTACAAATGTTTATGTCTATAGCAGACAGCAGAACATGTATTCGATGGAGCGTGAAAGACTGACTCATTACTATGAAGGCTGGATAACTATAGGTGTCATCTAGCAGTGGTGCTCAGAGACCCATCGTAGTTTTGCAATAACCGTTTTCTGCTAGCAACCCTCAGAAGAATGTTACTATCCTGATTTTACAAGAAAACAGGGAGTGTGTATTTAGACTGTTGAAAAATGAGACAGTTCTGTACTATTCCTCCTCTCCTTTCCTGCTTTGGGGATGGATCAGTTCTTGACCTGGCTTCAGTGAGCCCACACCTATCAACCCCCTAGCCATTACAGGTGGAGTATAGAAGGGTGATTTAATACCTGTCTGCTACAATATTTGGGCCAAGAGAATTACCTTCAGCTGTAACTGGGGTCTCTAACACCGGTCACGCAAGCTTAGGAGACTAAAGCAAAGGTGATGAGGATATTATGCCTGAATTCTGCAGCATTCAGATAGGTATTGGTGTGTATATTGGGGAGAGGAAAGGCTGGACTGCATGGTCATTGCCAGAGCTCTGGCAAGAGTATCACAAAAGAGAGGTATCCTCCTGAGGGAAAAACACCATATGGGAGTAAGTATATTATTCGGTCTAGTGGTAACAAGTATACATGGGATCCCTCAAAACGTCTCACTACAGTCGTTATATAGATTCAGGAAGCGGCACACGCTGCCTGAGCAAAAGGAGACCTCTACAGGCAGGGTATTACCACAGCTATCTACATCAATTTGGCAGGAGAAAATACATCCAGCAGTTTTTTGTTACATTGATACAGAAGTAGCAGGAAGGATGGGAAAAGCCTACCAGCTATCTTCATGTAGATTATAGCTGTTGGTGTGATATGTGTTAGTCTCTTGGTACTCTTTCTTGCATCCACTTTCATCTTGTCCAGTACCTTCACTGAATTGCTCCTCTTGTTAATGTTGGCTCAGCTTACGTATGAAGGGAAAGAAGTCCCACTCACAGAATGAGAAGGTGACGGTGCTGAGCACAGTACAGGCACAGTACAGGCACTGCAAGGAACGTAGCACTCTTGAAGCCCGTTCTGCAGTAGCTCTGCTAGGATGGCAGCACAAGTTGAGATTTTAAATGTTTGCATTACTGAAGTGATCCTGTATGATTTTTGGAGCTGATATGTTGACAAAGGTGACAATTTTTAGGCAACATGGTGGTCCAAGTGAACGCCTGGTGTCTCTCTCTAGAGTCACTTACACAGAGAAGGGGGAGGTGAGATTGTACCAGTTACTTTCCTCATGCTAAATTATCTTTAAGACTCAAAGCTCACCTCAGAAATGAATCTTTCATGACTCACTGAAAGAAGAGAGGAAACCCTGTCTAAGATACAGGCACTGCTTCTGTCCCATGCTGTTTATCTGGGAGCCAATAGTCTCAATTTTCATTCTTGCTCATCCATTGGCCTTGAGAAAGTGCAGCAGTGAGTTACAGTCAAGGGGCCACTTAGCAGGAGAGCTCTTTCAGAAACGCCCTACTTGAGATAAAGTTTCTGTTTCTTGAAGGTCAGAGAACTACTCTGCTGGATGGAGAGGCAGTCACGTATTCCAGTAAGCCAGCAATGTGGGGAATGGAAAGCAGCCTTGAATGTGTCCTCTCTCATTTGGCTATCATTTCATAGAGATCCCTATTTCCCCTTTACCCTGCCTGGGTGATGGGCCACCAGCATTCAGTGAAAAGAATGACTAAGAGGATCTTCACCCAGCTGCTGCCATGCCATCTCTACCTCCATACAGAACACTTTCCACACAGAAATATGCCCAGCATATGTAGTTCAGAATAAAGCACCATATGTATTGTTTCTACTGCTGTATATGCCATATACTTTATGTTTCTGCATCATAAATATCTGTTTGCTGATACTGTAGGAAGGGCTGGTTATACAGTTTATTATAAAGGTTGCTTGAAACATAAATCATAGTTATAAACTTACTATAAGTTGCATATAATACTAAATATTCAACCAGTTCATACTGGTTTTCCATACTTTATTTTTTTTCCTCAGGCTAAATTTTATTATAAAATGGTTTATCTGTTCAGAGAACAAGATGGGGAAAACAACATTTTAGCCACGTTAAAATGATTCTGTTGACTGGAAAGCTCTTTCCCCCTCTCCTTCATCTTAGCAGATGTCTCAGAATCATGCTCTCTGCATGCCCCCTGGCCACCCTTTCCAGTGACTGACTGACTTCAGAATAATACCAGTTCTCCTGAATTCACAGGGAGATTTGTACAGATGCATGTCTCCAGGGCTCTGAAGTAGAGGCTGAGCTTGCAACAAGCTCTGTGACTGAAGCCCAGCAGTTCCTCAAGTCATTTTGAGTCCATTTTGAGGCCAGGCCCCTGTTGGGATGAGCTGAACTGCAAGGGGAAGCTTCCCAGACTGTGCAGCAGAAGCACAGTCTTGTCTTCTAAACAGAGCACTTGATTTTTCATGTGAATGAAGTGGTTTAATGCATATAGATTTATTATATAGCATCTTCTGGCATAACTGCTTAGTATGTCCCCTTTTTGTTTCCCTTTCTGTGAATCGTTACATTTACCTGCATATGTGAAGTAAGTGGAGACATCTACAGATAAAGAAATGCTGTGAATCATCATCATCAGTTCCTTTTCTCTTAAATGGTAATTTAGGAGCTTTTGGGAAAGTCTCTTAATGTGCTCAGGATTTTGTAATTTGCTAACATTCAAAGTGATATTTTTTGAAGGTGATGATGAATGATTACACACTAAGGCCCCCATCCCCATGGTACTTCCGAAAGCATAAAGCTTCCATCACTGCCACTACTGGGTTAATTACAGAAGTCAGACACTGGGCCACCTAACAAGAACAGACTGAAACCCATCTACCAGAGAGCATTCATAGCCAGCCTGCCTCAGTCAGACAGCAAGAGTCAGGCAAATTCCTGATGCCACTCTTTGAAGATTACTAGACCTCTCTTTCTACCTTGGCCCTTCCCCCCTGACACGTGCATACACACTCACACCCTCCTCCAGGCTCTGACAGACTTGTCAGAGGGAAAGAATTGCACAAGCCCTTAACAGGAGAGACAGCTTCAACTGTCAGCCCAGCATTCCTTTCTGGAGCTGACAGCAAGGGTGTCTAGCTCAACAAAAGGCATAATGTGCTAGAGGTTACCAGCAAATGGAATAAAATCCTTTAAACCTCTACCAGGCACTGTTTGCAGTGGGATGCCCTTTGAAAAGCCTCTCACTTTCGGATCCACCTGCTCAGTTTGTGTCTGAATCCTTTTCTGCGCACAGAGAGGTTCTAACACTCAGCCCCGCTGCCAGCTACCTGCGAAAGCCAGCTCTAAAATGGCTGATGGTGGAGGTGTCTGGCTGTGCTCAACCACAGGTCACACACAGGCATGCATTTCTGCCAACAGGGAGGTGAAACAAAATGAAGTAACCATACAGTCTGGGCAGTAGCTTCAAAAGCAAGCAAAGCTGTCAGCAGTCTCCAGCAGACCCTGATCATCAAAGGAATGGGGAGCCCTCTTGGTACAGTGGCTGTGTAGAGTAGAAGGATCTTTCATCTGATGCTCAGACCTTTATAAAACCTAAAGAACAGTAGCGCATGAGGAGCTCTGCTATGTGCCATTCCTTTTTTACAGCCCTGTCACACATATATAACTTCCCTACCCTTAACCGAAACCCCCCTCATCAGCCACATCTTTGCTCTTCACTGAAACGGAAACACATAGGTCTAAAATGCTAAAGATCTCAAAGAGCTCTTGTTTCTTTACCAAACTCATAGCAAACAGTGAGGAGTATGATGAGAGATTCATTATCACTTACCAAAGATTAGATTACCCAATTTGCTTAGAGATTATCAGATCAAAATCCAACATAGTCGATGGTATATGTCCTCAGCCCTCCCACTGTGACCTTTTAATGCATTGTAAACTGCTGAGAAAGTTATTTTAAATGTCTTTGGTGGTTGAAGGTAGGGGTTTGTGGTACCTCTGCATCACACAGCCTTTCATTAAAATGGCAGGGAATGATTCAGATCATGAGAGGAGGTTTTGTTTTCCAGTTTCTGGGATTTAGGAAATTGCAGTCAGGAATTTGCATCACTGCTGTTACCAGTGGCATTGTCAGTAGACTATACGGTGGAGTAAATGAGCCTAAAGAAGGAAAGTAGTAGAAAGGATAATATGGATCCCCCAAAAACCCAGCCAAGAGGGTGTATACCAATGGTGTGTGGTCAGCACTTGACACACGCCATTCCCGAGCAGAGGCCATTCAGCGGCAGGTCACTGGGTCCCCAAGCGAGCTCACTGCCACTCACTGCCTTTACACCTTGTCTTTACGCAGGACGGAGGATGCAGCTGCCCAGGAGATGTCGCCAAAGCGTTTGGTAAGGACAGCATACGGTGCCACCCGTCACACCCCGCGTGTCTCCAGCACCCTCAGCAGTGATGCCGGAGTCCGTTTGACCCTGAATGTGTAATCAGCAATAGGTTACATTTGTCCCTGTGTGTGACTCTAGTGAAATTAATACACCAGACATAAATTTGCTCTTTGGACCAAACAGTCCAAAGTCTGCAGTGCAAAACATACAGTGGTCGAAGTCCTATTTAGAAACTATCTGCCAGGTCTGCATGGGATACAGCCACTGGGACAGTAATACAAAGAAAACTGATAAGGGTTTCTTCTGAGTAGGGTTCAAAGATGCCTGTAACGTTGCCAGACCTGGCTGACCCCGACCTTGAATGGATGAAGAGATGGTGGAATGTGTGTTGGACAGAAGAACAAAACAAAAAGGCAGGCCACATCCCTGGAGATGTTCTTGGGATCAGCTGTCCACTTGAAGAGATGAAATGTTATTTATACTGTATCCCCTAGAGCTGAGCCGATGTCTAAAACATCTAAGTTAATAATTAACAGATTTTGCTCTCATGCCAATAGCTTCAGTGAATTGCTTGCACCAGCTTTTGCTGATAGGGAGTTTAATCTGTGAGTATTTTCTGTTGGGCATGAAAGTTACACTGGGGGGGTTCAAGGTCAGGATTGTCACTTAGCCATAACCTTGTTACAGCAGTGTATGTGAACTAGGCACTAAATGCATCCTGGACTGACAGGATATTTAAGGACACTCCCCCGCCCTCCAAAATGCTAGACCCTTTGGAGATGTCACAGTGGGGTAATAACCCAGAATACAGCGGGACAGCACAGTCTGTCACTGGGATTTCAGGGTGGTACGATACAAGAGATACTGCATTATGATACAGCATGTCTGCTTGGCAGGAAGCTTTGCAAGTATGGGAAGCAGGGGCAGGCCTAAACTCAGATTACAGACCTGCCAAGAAAAACTCTGGGCCTGCTGGAAAGGTTGAAACTAAAATCTGTCCTTTAAGTTTGCAGACAGCTCTTGTTTTTAGACAGGTCAGATGACAAGGGAGACTTAATTAGAGAATTTTAAGCAGAGCTGTGGAGTGATTGCTACCAGCAAGGAATCTGCTCAGTCACAGGATTTCACATCACCCTTGTGTTACCCAGTAGGTGATGTGATGTAGGGAATAGATACTGCCAGTTGGGTGATTCTGACATAGCTGAACAGTGGCATCCACCCTCTTTGACAACAAGATTATGTTAAAAAAACCCCAACCTCGCATCAGCCCAGCCCGCTCTGACATCATACTGCCTGCGAGGCCTTTGTTCTGCCTGTCTGTCTCTGGCTCTGCAGCTTGCCTGGTTCTTGCTGGAGTTGTTGTTGTTGTGAGCTTGTGAACAAAGATTGCGACCTCACTGCATTCCCAGCTGCCTGCACAGAAACCTGGCCCATGGAAAAGGTCTTGCTTCAACAAGAACATTTCCAGAAGTTAGAACAACAGGAAGCAACTTCAAAGTATTTTAAATGTTTTCCTTTGTGATGTTTATAGCAAGTCTGAAGGGTCCTTGTAGTCTTTTTGGGCTAACTGAACAGAAACTTGCTTGAAACCTGTGAAAGGGCAGATTCTGGCCTTGCTGATTGTCAGGAGGCGCTGGGATTCACAGTGGTGTGTGTTTGAAGGCTACCACAGGTTGTCCCTGGTATAGAGGAGCATCAGAAAACTGAGATTATACAGGCAGTAGTTCTACACTGACAGTAGCTTAGACAGATCATTCTGACCTGTGTGTCACAGGACTGGAACTGCTAGAGAGTACCCTGAGGCAATAAACTTACCATATCTGGTTATGTATAATTGAGATAGACAACACTGTGGACATCTGACTAGCTGGAGCCAGGTGTGCATTTGTCAAAGGTGGGTGGCAAAATAAGCTTCTAGATAAAGTTATTACTGTCAGTGTTTATTGAATGCTGTTGAGGTGATTGGCTATGCGAGCCACGTAGAAGATAGCCTCCATGCCCAGCATTTACAAGCCAAAGCCTTGATACTGATACTGAATTGTCTAGTGCAGACCTCTGTGCTTGCTGAGAGTCTCTTGCGGGAGGGAGTTACATAAATATATTGGACAGCAGATAAAACACACAGATGTACAATTTTACCTGGAGATGTCGGCCTGGACAAAGCATGGACAAGAGACCCAAAGAGGACTTTTTGTTAAAGTGATTATACTGTCTCTCTTTGGTGGATCATTGTAAAGTCTTCATGAAAGGGATTTTGAGGTGTTCATTATAAAGCAGTGACAAAGCAGCCATTTGAATCGTAAAAAGTGTGACGGAGTCCCAGATGTGGAGACTAGCATTGAAAAATGGCTAAAGATGTGACTGGAGGAGACAAGTTCATGGGAGTAGAGTGGATGGAGTGCAAGTGAAGAACAATGAAAAAGATGCTGAGAAGCTTTCCAAGTGGAAGGTGACACCACTGACCGGTGTCAGGAATCAGAGGCAGATTTGGCATTTTGACAGAGAGGAAACGAGGTAGAAGCCTATTTAAAAAGGCAAGGAACAGAG